CCAACTATGTCCTTTTGGGCCTATCTCTTGCTCTTTTCAATCCTTCCACTGGAACTAATTCGCACCTTCTAACAAGTATTGTATTGAGTCGATGCCACACATGGCCAACCTACCTAAGTCCACTCTCTCTCATCTTATCGCCTATTAGTGCCACATCTAAACTTTTTCGAATAGATTCATTCGAATTCTATCCCTTTTTGTCTTACCACTCATCCATCTCAACATCTTCATCTCCGCTACACTAATTTTATGGGTATATTGTTTTATATCCGCCCAACATTCTGCCCCATAAAGCACAGCTAGTCTCACAGTTGTCCTATAGAACTTACCATTCAGCTTCATTGGTATACTGCAAATCTCCGCTTCGCCCACCCAACTCTAATTCTATGTGTGATATCTTCCTCAATCTCTCCATTTTTCTAAATTATTGACCCAAGGTATCGAAAGTGGGGTCCTTTTTGTACTTCTTGACTGTCAATCTTAATTACTTCCTCGTCTCTGCTCCTATTAGTACTAAACATGCATTCCATATACTCTGTCTTAGTTCGGCTAACTTTAAAACCTTTGGATTCTAGAGCATCGCTCCAAAGTTCTAGCTTTGTGTTGACATCGTTTCCGACCTCCTCGATCAAAACTATGTCATCTGCGAACAGCATGCACCATGGTACCTCATCCTGCAAGTGCCTAGTTAAGTCGTCCATAACTAAGATAAAGAAGCACAGGCTCAATGCTGACCCTTCATGTAGACCTATTGTCACTGAAAACTCACTCGACTCTCCACTAATTGTTTGCACACTAGTTAGCGCTCTATCGTACATATCTCTCACCAAGTTGATGTATTGTCTGGAAATTCGTTTCTTTTTCAATACCCTCCAAATCAAATCTCAACATCCTCTATCATAAGCTTTCTCTTGGTCAATAAACACCACGTGGAGGTCTTTTCCCTTCGCTCTAAACTTCTCAATCAGTTACCTAAGTAGGAAAATAGCCTCGGTTGTTAACCTTCCTGGCATAAAACCAAATTGGTTTTCAGATGCACTCGTTTCATGCCTTAGTTGTTGCTCAATCACTCTCTCCCAAAGCTTCATAGCATGGCTCATAAGCTTGATCTCTCAATAGTACATATATATATATATATATATATATATATATATATATATAGTAGTAGTACGACTACTACTATCGTTAGTAGTAAGTAAGAGTAAGAGTAAGTATTAAGTAAGTAACGTAACTAAACGTTAAAACCG